GCAAACGAAGCCGTGATGACGATGAGGGTATGATGGAGATACTGCAATTGAAGCCCATTTGTATCTTTATCTAGAGTTAAAGACAAGTTGCTACATTGGGATTAAATGCATTCTTTTCTTCTTATTATTTTCTTAGGCAAGAAGTAAACAGCAACCATGTTCCTAAATACGAGCAATTGGCATATTAATTTCTTGTTGCATTTTGCAAAAGTTCACCCCTCTACATGCACGCTGACCTTTTACGATCCTTCGTCCTAAACCAGGGATCGTCTCTTCATTCAAACATTCAATTACAAGTGTTCAATGATATTGAGTTTTGGCGGTGAGAATGTTCGGGTTGCACCGATTGAAGATTGTATTTGAGCGTTAGCGGATACTGGGAACGGTACAAATGTACTGTACACAACGCTATGGCCAAGCCTGAATATACCATTGGCCGACTTGTGGCAGTAATCGTGAATAAACAACCCAGCGTTTTAAAAGCACACAGGAAACTGAATATTTACAGCTCCATAAGACTTGGGTTATACAAGTGCCTGAATTTGGGAAACGGTTGATGGAATTGGATTCCGCTCTGGCCGGCATTTGTGCTTATGCATGAGCATTAGTCGGAATTTCTCGATCTTATTTTGTGGTAGTGCTACCGTGCATATGTGAAGTAACCGTTTGTTGGATATTATCCTTCGTCTGCTGAATAATATCTGCTAGGAAATGTCTGACATTCAGATGACAATTCCTACTTTACATTTCAGCCAATAATGTGGCTTAGAAATTTTAAGATTGAAACTTGAATTTCAAACGGCAAGGTTGCGGATAGAAATACAAGTTCGCAGTTAGGACTCTAAGTTATCGATAAAGCTCACTTTTCTTTTGCCATCGAGCTACACAAGACGCTTCCTTACATAGTAGCACTTGTCGTAGTCAACTAATTGCCATCGTGCACGAAGACCGCATATTCCATTCAAGTCAAGCCATCGTGCAATATGGACCAATCAGCGGCGCCACAGACAATGGGCGACATTCTACAACTTCTAGCGCAACAACAAGCGCAATTTCAATCCCATTTTCAAAAGCATTAGCGGCTCAAAACGCACGCTTCGCCACGCTCGTCGCCAAGCCACCAGCAGCTCGAAAAGCCGAGCC